TTGGTTCTTGAAAATTTATTAACTACAAAAGTGATTTCTTAATTAAATATATAATAATTATGGTATATTTTAAAAACTATACATTTTATAAATTATATGAATAGTATATTCACTATGCAAGCCTACTTTCTCACTATACGCGTTTTCTTCCATGGCTTTCTGTTGCAAAGTGGCGAAGTTGGAAGAAGCTAATTAATTTATTTTTTTGGGCAAAGGAAAGCTAATTAAATATTTTGAAACTTTGGTTTTATGCAATTTATTATATCTTCCACAACACTTCCAATCTTATTTGTAAGTTATTTTTAGTATTTTCATCAAATTTAAGAAAAATCTTAAATTTTATTTAATTTTGTTTAAAAATTCGATAAGTTTACAATTATATTCCTATTAAATATCAATACTTTAAAAATAAAATACTATAATATTTAATATAATAACATTTTCAAAATTTAATAGGATCAAAAAGATAAAGATGATTATAATAATAATTAAAGTACTTTATAAATAAGAATAAAATAAATATTTTTTTCTATTTTATAAACAGCATGAGAGGAATATGCAACTTTTCTTTCATATTGTAGTTAGCCTTCCATGTACATTGAAGGTCAAATTGTGCAACTTTTCTGGCATTTTTGCAATCTATCTTCTTTATTCTGCATTTTTTTAAAATTTCTCCATTGTTTTAAATTTTCCTCATGTGAAACCACTTGCATAATAATGAAGACGACTTGCAAATTAATGTTCATGAAAAAATTTATGATATGGTTGAGACTTTTTTTATGATATGGAAGATGCTACACAAAAAAAAAATATGGAAAAGTGTTTGCAAAATAAGGAATATTAAGGAAATAAGGATGAAAACTAGCGAATTTTATGAAATTTTTTGACAATTTTTTTGAAGACACGTAAGATACACACACACACAAAAGGAAGAATGATTGTGAAATAAGAAAGATGGACATAAAAATAAGGAAAATCACTTAGCAATTTCAACTTGCCTGAGCATGGGTCTCAGTGTACCTTTTATTAATTAAATTTTGTAATTTAAAAGTAATTCATGATGTATTAAAATGTGATTGGTTGATTAGTATTAGCCCCATAGTATTAGAAATTAAAAATATTTCAAATTAAAAAGCAAGGCTAATGTGTCCCACATTATATCTTTATGTTAAATCTTTTTTGGTCATAATTTCATAAACTCACATTCTAATTTAATTCCTCTTAATAACTGTGGTTAGGCTCCACTTCTTGTAAAGTGAAGTTTGGGTAATTTAGAAGTAGAGATTGAGGGTTCAAATGTTTGAGTTTATGTTGATGGAATTCAACTTGGTTGATTGTAGTTTTGACTCTTGGTCACCTATTAGAGTGGAAATTCAAACTTGAAAGCTAATTGATTAAGGGGTAAATCTTTAACCTCTCAAAAGTTTAAGGTAACTGGGAGAAAACTCTACTTTAGATAGTTGTATGTTAATTGATGGTTAATTGATTATTGAATGCGAATGGTGAATGTTATATGTATGAGATTGATTTTTATGTAAAACTATATATTAGTTTTCAATGAGTGTATGAGAATTTGATTGAGCACAATGCTATTTTAGCTTGAAATGCAAAATGCAAAGTCAAGAGGATTTTACTATGAAAATGCTTATGTTTTGAAAAATGAATGTGATGATGAGTAGAGATATTTGTGTGTTAATAATAAAATGAATTTGAGAAAATGATGAGAAAACATACTTGGGTAGTGCAAGGTCGTGAGCCTAACGTGATTGTGGTAAAAATGAGTATATGAAATTGAAAAGCGAGAACAAGTGAGTATTGTTTATGGCATGATTAGTGGTGAGAGTTCGCCTAGGGATTTAAAAGTAGAGAAAATTCATATGGTAATTAGGCTACCCTCCGATGCACAGCGGCTATAGCCTTGTCCTACTGTTTGTTAAGGGACTGTCCCATAGTTTGTTGAGGGATTAGAACCTATCTATCTCCATCGGTTCAATAAGGAAAATAGCCTTGAGTATGAGACACCCCAGGGATTCGAGAATGGGAGAAGCCATGGTTGAGAGTGAGTCCTGTAATCTTTAGCCAAGTCATATCTTATGATTGGTGAGCTTGGGTAGTCCAGTCACACGGACGAAGTCCTAATCAGTGTTATATCCCATGGTTTCAATATGAGGAAATAAAGAGGATATAAGGTTGGATGATCATTGCCTAAGTAAATGTATGACATGTCACACGTGCTAAGTGGTGGTAGGTCGCAAGAGTAAGGGTCATGTCACATATATAAGAATATGGTGACAATGCACCCAGTTACGTGAGTTAAAGAAGCTATATAGTGATAAATGGTAAATTATGATACATGTGAGTTTGATTTGCATATTTGATCTCCTTGTCTATATATTTATTTTATAATTGATATATAACTGCATAGAATAGGGTTAACCTTGGTTACTGAGTGGCTAGACTCACCCATCTTATTTAATACCTTTCAGGCTCTAGCTCTGGTGTTGAGAGAGAGAAGACTAAAGAGGAGGGGAATTAGCATATTTCTACTGTATGCCTCTAGTTTAGCTTTAATTATGTAATAATATATGGTTTGCCAATTCTATGATGAATATTACCACACTTGCACTATTTTAGTTATTGGAAATGTTTAAATTGTATTTTGAGCCCTTAGCCTTTATGTATGTTAATATATATATATATATGTTTATAGGGCTAAAATACTGGTGCAAGTATAGAAATCAAGATTTGAGTATGTTTTGAATGAATTGAGTAAAATGCAATGCTAATTTACCTCCCCTTTTATTTTTGATAAATTGGGGTTGAGGAGTGAATTTTAGTTATAATGATGTTTTGGTGCTTATGACGTGTTGTACTAATAGTCTTAGGTCCATTGGACATTGTCCAGGTGTTAGGAAAAGCTTTTGGCACTTGTTGAGGGCTTTGGACACCCATTTTGTATAAAAGTATTGAAAAGTGGTCAAATTGTGTTTGGGTATCCAACTTCCTTGTGTGAATTGTTTTGAAAGTGAAACCCTTGCCATTATCTAGTTGATGTAAAGAGCTTTCGATAGACACCTAGATCACATCATTCGAACGTCGGATGGAGAATCAGGGCAAGTTAGAAGTTTCCCTGATTTTGCTATCAAATGACAGCAAAACTAGTGAAATTTCATGCAACATGCCATGGCACACAGTGCCTAAGCCGCAAGGTGTGGCACAGAGAGCAACACACAGCGGTGCAGCATGCACGAGCCACGGTGCATGGCTTTGAATCACAACACATGTTTTTGACCGTTTTTGACTTCTTTTACTCCTCTGAGGTATTCCATGCTTTTGAAACTTATTTTTACTCTGATATGAAAGATTTTGATTGATTTTAACTTATTTCTATTTAAAAAACTTGGGATCCCTTACTTTTGGATTAAAACTTGGTAATCACTTTTTGAGCTAATCCTCTAATTACCATGAGTTTTTTTAATTAATTGTGTTTAGTGGAGTGAGAACATTACAAACTTGGTATTAGTTTCTCTAATTTTGAGAACTGGTCTATGGTTTTTATGATTGAGTTGTTCAAATTTGTTGTGCATTGCATATAAAGAATTGGCAATATCCTATTACACTTGTTATTTCCCTCACCGAGCTCGTGCTAACTCCTTTTTTTCTTTTTGGGATTGCTTCCATCTTTAAGAGGGGAGAATATGGTGCAAACAAGAGCCACAAACATAGGAAATGCGCTAACAAATGTGTGAAGACCGGAATAAGAATCGGTAAACTAAGAGCAACAACCAAGATCTCAACAAGGTAACAAAGACAATGCCCTAAATGAACTGAGGCATATGATGATGGACATCCAGAGGAGCATGGATGGTTATAACGAGATCCTTAGAAGAAGACCTGGGGAAAGTAGCAGGATGGTTGAGAAAGTTGGAGTTGACTAAAAAGAAGCCTGAGATGATGTGCACGCTGAGGTGTATGGACAATGAGATGAAGAGTACTATGAGGAAAGTATTCCTGAGAGGCTAGTGTGACTAATGAGGCCTAGGATGAGTGAGTCAAAAGGCTCCATTGAAATGGCTTTGAAGCGATTCACGAGATTGAATCCTCCTTCCTTTGAGGGTTCTATGGAGGATCGAGTAGATGAGAAGTAGATTGACAGGCTTGAGACCATCTTCTCGGTTATGACCTGTACAATTGAGTAGAGGGTTCTCTTGGCCACTTTTATGCTTGAGGACGTAGCAAAGTAATGGTAGGAAAGTGTGAGGCTAGTGGATGGCTCACAGTTGACATGGATAAAGTTCAAGAGGCGATTCTTTGCCCACTACTTTCCAGCCCCATTTTGAGCAGAGAAAGAGGTGGAATTTCACAAACTCCAATAGGGAAATATGAATGAGGAGGAGTTTATAACAAAGTTCAATGAGCTATCAAAGTACTCCACCTATCTAAGTCATCATGACGATGAGTATTAGAAGGCCAAGAAGTTTTTTGATAAGATGAGGCTTGAGTTCAGCCAACAGTTAGCTACCTTTGATATTACTTCCTTCGAGGTTATGTGAAACAAGTTCGTAGCTATAGCCAGGAGGAGTAGAGTGGTAGAAGAGAAGAAAAGAGATGGTTAAGGGAGATTCTCTTCCTACATGGGCCCTATGGGCAAAGTGAGTAAGAAGTCAGGTTTTAACTCGAGCATGTCTGGGAGGTACAGTGCTGGAGGGAGCAAGAAGAAGAGCTTCCAGAAGGGGTCCCAATCTAGGGGATCCAACTAAAGGAGCAATGCCTTGAGGAGTATGGGCGGGGTCAAAAATCAGACTTCCCAGCAGGGATCTACAGCTCCATCTGCTATGATGCCAGCTAGAGCTCTACAATGCAACAGATGCGAGAAACATCACTAAGGGCAATGTTGGGTTTGCTTTAAATGCAACAAGGTGGGACACATAGCCAAGTTTTGCCCAGAGAACATACCTGCTCTTGATCAGAGATCTGCTATCCTAAGACAAGTTTTCACCATGACCAAAGGGGAGGCTGAGGCTTCACCAAAGTTAATCAGAGGTACAATCTCACTTTATGGTCACCAGATAGATGCTATGTTTGATTCTGGTGCCACACATTCTTTTATATCTGATGATTGTGCTAAGAGACTAAACTTGCATGTGCTTGAAATGCCATTTGCCATGAATGTGTCTACATCGACTGGTGTATCTACGAGGACTAGTCAGGCTTGTTTGAAACTAGAATTAAAATTTGGTGATAGAGTTTCTATGATTGACTTAATCAGCTTACCTTTGAGTGGTATTGATGTGATAGTAGGGATGGATTGGTTATCTGCTAATGGTATGACACTTAACTGTAATAGAAAGAAAGTCTCCTTATTGGTTTACACAGCGACAGCTATTAACCTTAAACTTGTCAAGTCATTGTCAGTAGTGGATTGTGAGACTCCTAAATTCTTGACAGCCTTACAAGTAGAGAAGTCAGTGAAAGAAGGGTGTCAGGCTTTCATGATCTATTGTTCTACACATAAAGTGTATGATGGAGGAATTGACAGAATTAGTGTAGTGAATGAGTTCCCAGAAGTGTTTGATGACCAAATGTCAGGATTGCTACCTGAAAGAGAGATTGAATTCTCGATTGATTTAATACCTGGTACCGAGCTAATCTCTAAGGCTTCGTATCGGATGGCTCCTGTAGAACTGGAAGAATTGAAAAAGTAATTAGAAGAGCTACTAGAGAAGGGATTCATCCAATCGAGTGTATCATCATGGGGATCGCCTGTGCTATTTTTAAAGAAGAAAGATGGGAGTATGAGGTTGTGCATTAACTACAGGCAACTAAACAAAGTGATGATTAAGAACAAATATCCGTTACCACGGATTGATTACTTACTAGACCAACTTGTCAGAGCTGTAGTTTTCTCAAAAATTGATCTAAGGTCTAGATATCACCAATTGAGGGTTAAGGAAAACAATGTGCCAAGATTGCATTTAGGACACGATACAGGCACTATGAGTTCTTAATAATGCTCTTTAGTCTGACAAATGCTCCTGTAATCTTTATGGACTTCATAAACATGATCTTCAGACCCTACGTAGACAAATTTATAGTAGTTTTCATTGATGACATCCTGATATACTCAAGAGATGAGGAAAAACACATAAAACATCTGAGGATAGTGCTGCAAGTACTGAAAGAGCACAATTTGTATGCCAAATTAAGTAAGTATGAATTTTGGCTATGAGAAGTGAAATTTTTGGGACACGTCGTTTTTGTTGATGACATAGTAGTAGATCTATACAAGGTTGATGTGGTACTACAATAGGAGAGACCAATGTCAGTAACCAAGATAAGAAGTTTCTTGGGTTTAGCCGGCTATTATCAGAAATTTATCTAAGGATCCTCTCAAATTTCTTCTGCTTTGATGAAGCTAATGAAGAAGGATTAATCATTTGTTTAGACAGAGATGTGTGAAGAGGCGTTTCAAACTCTAAAAGAGAAGTTGACTATAGTGCCAGTGTTGAGTATTCCAGATCCCAAATGGCCATATGTGGTTTACACTGATACATGACTTAAAGGACTAAGCTGTGAGCTAATACAAGATGATAGAGTTGTAGCTTACGTGTTGAGACAGCTAAGATTGCATGAAGAGAGTTATCCAACTCATGACCTTGAGCTAGCAGCGGCTGTATTTGCTTTAAAAATATAGAGGCACTATTTCTATGGTTCACAGTTTAAGGTATTCAGTGACCATAAGAGCCTTAAGTATTTAAATTGATCAAAAGGAGCTAAATATGCGACAGTGAAGGTCGATGGAATTTTTGAAAGATTATAAATTTGAGTTGAAGTACCATCTAGGGAAGGCCAATGCAGTGGCCGATGCTTTGAGCAGTAAGACCTTACATGTTACATGGCTGATGATCCATAAGTACAAGCTACTAGAGGATTTCTCTAGTGAATACCAAAATAGTCTAAATTTAGCCATGTATAACTTAAATACAATGGTAATCACTAATGAAACCTGGAAGGACTTGAGAAGCTTGAAGACAAGTATCTGTTAGAGATTAGAGATGATATCGAGGCAAACAAGACCAAGGACTTTTAGTTCAATGATGATAGGTTAGTAGTGTATAGAGATTGGGTATGTGTACTTGATGATAAAAGGGTTCGAGAGACCATTCTAGCTGAAGCTCATTGAAGTAAGTTTACCATTCATCCAGGAACTACCAAGATGTATCAAGATATGAAGAGTAGGTGGTGGTGGCCTGGTATGAAGTGGGAGGTGACAGAGTACGTATCCCGATGTCTGACTTGTCAAAAGGTGAAGATTGAACACCAAAGACCCCTAGGATTGCTACAACCATTAGAGATTCCTATGTGGAAATGGGATTGTGTTTCTATGAATTTCATTATAGGATTTCCACATACCCAAGCAAATCATTATGTTATTTAGGTAATTATGGATAGATGACCAAGTCTGCTCATTTCTTAGCTATTAGAGCTGATTATGCCCTAGAGAAGCTTTTAGAGGTTTATATTCAAGAGATTGTAAGGTTATATGGGGTGCTAAAAGAGATTGTGTCAAATCACAATCTGAGGTTTACCTCGAACTTTTGGAAAGCACTGCACAAGGCCATGGGTACAAAATTAAAGTTCAGTATGGCTTATCACTCTCAAACAGATGGTCAAACTGAGAGGACCATCTAGACTCTTGAGGATATGCTACGTGCTTGTGCCGTCGAATGGAGTGGTAGTTGGGATAAGCACCTACCTTTGGCAGAATTCTCTTATAATAACATTTTTCATATGAGCATTCAAATGGCTCCATATGAATCCTTGTATAGTAGGAAGTATAGATCACTACTTTATTGGACTGAATTGAGTGAGAGAAGCACAATGGGTCCTGATTTGGTAGATCAAACCATTGAAAAAATTAAGACTATCTAGTAGAAGTTGTTGACTATTCAGAGTCGATAAAAGAGCTATGTAGATAAGAGGAGGAGACCATTGGAGTTTATGGTAGGAGACCACATATTTTTAAAGGTCACACCTATGACTGGAATTAGGAGGTCTATTCATGTAAAGAAGTTGACTCCCAGATTTATTGGGCCATTTGAAATTCTTGAGAGAATTAGGCCTTTGGTATACCGGATTGCCTTACTTTCTCATTTGTTAGGTGTGCATAATGTATTCCATGTATCTTAATTGAAGAAGTATCAACCTGACCCTTCACATGTGATTGAGCCTAAGGATGTGGAGTTACATGAGAATTTAACATATCGGGTAGAGCCGAAGAAAATTGTGGATATTAAAGAGAAATAGCTGAGAAATAAGACAATTCGGTTAGTAAAAGTCATTTGGAAAGTGATGACTTCTGGTGATATTACATGGAAAACCAAAGAGAAAATGAAAAACCAATATCTTCACTTGTTTCTATGAGGTAAGGTTTTACTAGCTTTGCTAGATTAAGTAAATTTTGAGGACAAAATTCCTAAAAAGATGGGAGAGTTGTAACATTCTGAGTTTTAATGTCCTGATTAATTAAATCAAATTAGGTAATTAAGTAAATTGAAGTAATGTATGGCCAAAGAGGTCTAATAATCACATTTGATGCTATTTCAACCCTAGTGGGTCTGGTATCGAGGCGGACCACCCGAGCATTGAAAGGAGAAGAAAAGGAAGAGTTGAAGTTTCTGTGCCACACATCGTGATGCGTAGATTGTCTGTCGTGGCGTACAGCCATCTCTGAGCGAGGGAAGACCTCTCTGTACCATGCGCCATGGCGTATTATGCGTCCACCACATTGCATGGCTATTTTCTGAACTTTATCAGACACGAAATGAGACATAAAAAGAAAAAAAGAAAAGAGAGAGAAGAGGCATGCCAATGCTTTGCTAGGGTTTACTTGGGGACTACATTGAGAGTATTTTGAAGGCTATAAACACCGAAGGTAAGTATCATACTTATTAATATCCCCATTTCTTTCATATTTGAGAGTTTATAGTTAGGATTTGATTGTGAAAGTGAGATTTTGGTCTATATAGGTTATGATTTTGTATCTATTGACTCAAATTGAGTTAATGGGGGTAGATTAGAGTATTTAAACCTAGATATAATGATTTTTAGTATCTTGGGTTGTTGAACAACATTAATGTCCGAAAATCCAATTTATTATGGGTGGTTGGAAGTTTGTGATGCCATTAATGGGAATTTAATGGCTCATTAATACTATTTGGGGCTAAAGGTAACTATTAAACCCAATGGTTAGGCTCCACCTCTTGTAAAGTGAAGGTTGGGCAATTTAAAAGTAGAGATTGAGGATTTAAATGTCTGAGTTTGTTATGTTGATGGAATTCAACTTGGTTGATTGTAGTTTTGGCTCTTGGTCACCTATTAGAGTGAAAATTCAAACTTGAAAGCTATTTGATTGAAGGGTAAACCTTTGACCTCTCAAAGGTTTGAGGGTAGTTGTATGTTAATTGATGGTTAATTGATTGTTGAATGTGAATGGTGAATGTTACATGCATGAGATTGATTTTTATATAACTATATATTAGTTTTCAATGAGTGTATGAAAATATGATTGAGCACAATGCTATTTTGACTTGAAATGCAAAATGCAAAGTCAAAAGGATTTTACTATGAAATGCTTATGTTTTGAAAAATAAATGTAATGATGAGTAGAGATATTTATGTGTTAGTAATAAAATAAATTTGAGAAAATGATGAGAATACACACTTGAATAGCGCAAGGTCGTGAGCCCAACGTGGTTATGGTAAAAGTGAGTATATGAAAGTAAAAAGTGAGAACAAGTAAGTATTATTTATGGCATGATCAGTAGTGGGAGTTCGCCTAGGGATTCAGGAGTAGAGATAATCCATATGGTAATTAGGCTGCCTTCTGGTGCACGGGGTCTATAGCCTTGTCCCACTTTTTGTCGAGGGACTATCTCATAGTTTGTCGAGGGACTATCTCATAGTTTTTCGAGGGACTAGAACTTAGCTATCTCTACCGATTCAATGAGGAGAATAGCTTAGGGTATGAGACACCTTAGGAATTCGAGAATAGGGAAAGCCGTGGTCCAAGAGTGAGTCCTATTACTGTGTAGCTAGACTTACCCCTCTTATTTAATACCTTTCAGGCTCTAGCTCTGGTGTTGAGAGGGTGAAACTGTATGCCTCTAGTTTAGCTTTAATTGTGTAATAGTATATCGCTTGCCAATTCTAAGATATATATCACCACACTTGCACTATTTTAGTTATTGGAAATGTTTAAATTATATTTTGAGCCCTTAGCCTTTGTATATGTTAATATATATATATATATATATATTTATAAGGCCCAAATACTACTACAAGTATAGAAATGAAGATTTGAGTATGTTTTGAATGAATTGAGTAAAATGCAATGCTAATTTACCTCGCCCTTTATTTTTGGTAAATTAGAGTTGAGGAGTGAATTTTAGTTATAATGATGTTTTGGTGCTTACGATGTGTTGTACTGATAGTCTTAGGTCCATTAGACATGGTCCAGGTGTTAGGAAAAGCTTTTGGTACTTGTTGAGGGTTTTGGACACCCATTTTGTGTAAAAGTCTTGAAAAGTAGTTAAATTGTGTTTGGGTGTCCAACTTTCTAATGTGACTAGTTTTGGAAGTGAAACCTATGCCATTAGCTAGTTCATGTAAATAGCTTTCTGTAGACACCTAGATCAAATCATTC